ATATGTATATATATATATGCACGCACAATCTGACAATTATCATGTACATGTCTTGTTTTGAATGGTACCCTGTTCGCCGTTGTCCATTTTTAGGGCCCCCCCCCATACGACCATCTCAACTGAGGCTTGCTGGACGAGAGGTTTGGAAGACCTCCAACGCAAAGCCCCATGAAAGAACCACCTCATTTGATTCCCGCGAACATTTTTTGTCTTTTTCGGTTGGGTAGACGAAATACTTCCATTTGCTTAAGAATGTGTTTTGGTCCCAACAGCTGAAAGCTATGGGGTCGATAGGCTATGGGGTGGATTTGGGCAGCGGAGTTCCGGGGATGTTGGAGATACCGCCTGGGCTTATTTTCACCTGTTGGTTTTAGGGGGAAGCCATCACTACTAGAAATATGTTATGTTTTCCAGAAGACTTAAGTCAATGGAGGAATATGAAGCTGGGTGTATCATTTTCAGTGCATCCCAGACGGGCCAGAGACAAGCAGCTCAGCTGTCCTTCCCAGCGTTTTGAGGTGGTAGTGGACTCAGTTCCTTAGTGCCTTTTGATCGATTCACTTGACGTTGCAGGCTCAGATGACAGGTGGGTGCAGGCAGTTGAGCCATTAGGAAGAGGCCACAGAGACCACCCCACCGCACCGCACCCCCACCGCACCCCACCCCACCCCACCCCATCCCACCCCACCCCACACCGCCGCACTGCGCCCCACCCCACCCCACCCCACCCCAGCCCAGCCCACCCCACCCCACCCCACCCCACCAAACCAAAAAGGCCTGGAGGACGTCATGCTGGAGAGCAGAGTCAGGATCCGCAGCGGTGCCCAGACCAATGGGAAACTCAGCCCAGGAGAAGCATGACATGTTGCGGTATAAAGACGGGATATAGCTTGTGAAGTCACAAAGTGTAATCAGCCCCCGAGTCGGGCAAGAGTGCCCTCATGTTGGCCATAAAGAGCAGAGAAGATGGGTCTGGCTCTGTTTTTGTGTTCTTTTTGCAGGAATCATTACGTTCCACCACGAGTCGCAAGGGCGGGGTCGTCCAAGCAACCATGTTGTGTTCAATGGTTGCGGTCGTCATCTTTCTCGATTTGCATGTCAGTGGGCGGCAAACTGAAGTTGACTGAAATGTGAGTGTGTCTCTTTTCTTCATGGTAGCCTTTTGGTTGGTGTCTTAAAGGGACACCAAAAGGAAGCCCGCCGCTTGGCGGGTCCCTAAAAAGAAGACAGCCAAGTGGCTCAGATGTTGACGTTCTCGTGATGTGTTGACTGTGGTGCTAACCCGCAGTGGCGAAGGAAACACTGGCAAGTAGCTTCATCTGAGCTTCGGCAGTGATACGCATGAATAGCCACGGTCAAAGCTTGGAAGGTTTTTTTGAATAAGGGTCAATTAGCAGTGGGTTTCGTAGGTCGTGTAAGCGTGATTGATACCGCAAGCCGGAGTTGAGCCCCCAAGTGCGCTTTGTGTGTGGGGTGCGTGTGTTTGTTTCGCGGGTAGCCATTTAAGGTTAGTTTGTGTTGGTCCCCCCGTTTGAACAGCTCCAACCCGAGGTCGTCATTCAGTTGGTGCATCGGAGACTGCGCCCAGCGCCTCGGTCGCAAAAGGTCAAATGCCTCAAGTCATCGTCAGAATCCTAGACCTTCAGTGCCCGGTTTCTGTTGATGCTGTTGATGGGTCCACGAAATCCATGTCGCGCCACTTTGAAACCATGGTTGAAACCATTGTTGGTTGGCATTTACCAGGGGAATGAATCATCATTCGCGCGTTTGTTGGGTGGTGCAGCATCCACGGTAGTTCGCCGAAAACAAGGGTAGGTTTTGTCGTCTCTGGCCGCTGGTGGTCGTGGAGCGTCAAAAGTATAGCCTTGCTGGATCCATTTCGGCACCTTGTGCCACCATTTGAAGGGCACAAGGGCGCCTGATTTTGACGCCCGCATTTATTCATCAAGGAGATTGGTGTTTTGGATTGGTGTTTGGGATTTGAACCCCTGGCTCTTGTAGGGGCTGCTTCATTCTTATTGGAGCATGATCGGTCCTATGAGCAGTGGATTCCTCTCGGTATGCAATGCGTTGTGAACCAAAAGACACCTTGCTGTTACAGGGATTCCTCCGTTTCCTTGTTTGGAACCTCCAAAAGTGGCGCTTTTTGAATCCACACCGCCAGAAAAAAAGCAACTTTTGAAGGGGAAATCCAGCGACCCTGCTGTGATATCCGAGGTGCAGAGATACTTCTACAACCCTTACAAGCTGAGCACTCAGAACCCATTCAAGCTCGCTTGAATAACGCTTGGCACAGGTTTGCGCTTTCACCATACCCATTTGCTGTTGAGGTTGGTGGACGTACAGCATGGACCATATCCCAAGAAATCCGCCGAGCGGTGTAGTCCGAAAGGACATGGAGAGACGGAGATGGAAAGCGGAAATGCTGAAAGGGGGCTTGACGTATTTCCCATCTCTGTCCATTCCTTTCTACGGCAATTGATGGTCCATTTGTTTGATGGAGAGATATAGGGAAGGTGGATGAGGGAGGTGATCCCTTGACCGGATTAAACGGTGAGCAGGCGAGCGAGCCATTGCCGTATTTCCTATATTTGTTTTTATTCTTGCGGTCAATGGATGGGGGCGGGTACGGAGAGACAGAATGGGTGACTCGATATCCCATTCATTTCTGAGACCCTCGGTATCTCCGCCTGGCGGTGTGATCCCAAGAGCTGAATGGAGAACCCAGAAGTATTAATTTTGGCTCTCCATTTTCCATGTCATGCATACCAGAGACTCATGCATTGGCGTAGATCATGTCCACCACACGGTCCCCACTACAGTTCATGTTCATGCACTGCACTGTCAAGACAAGCGTACCATGCTGCTGTTGCCATGAGCCCAGCGGTTGAAGCGGAGCTGCAAACTCACAATCGGAAAGCTGAAGCTAAGAACGCAAAGGCGCGGAACGTTCTTTTTGAATGCTTGGAGACCCTAAAACCTGCTTCAACGTGACATCTCAACGTTCTTTGAGAACTGGTTGAAACATGCGACACATTTGTATGACCAGTCCTGTTTTGCTATCCCGTCTCGGACTTCAAATAAAAGACCACATCTACAGCTGGTGCTTGGCTGGGTTCGCTGCAAGACTTCGTCTTTCTGCCGTGTTGATCCTTTCCGAGGTGACTTGTTTTCCCATTGATCCACTAGGTACTTTTCGGTATCAAAGTGAACCAGTCAGGCTGATCCCAACGGCTGGCCCCTCGACGTGAGTCGTTGTGTTTTCACGTCAGAGGATCTGAACCCTGACCCCGGGAAAAGAAAGAATCACTTGACTGGGGCTGGCTCAGGTCTAGCTATGAACAATTTGTGGAAGGCCTGAACTGCGCATTCCCATTAGTCCCAGACCTTGCCCAGCCCCAGTAAGCCGGAAACCAAGGAGCACTCTTGCCCTGGGTTCCGTTCTTTCTTGAGCTTCCCTCAGACCTCTACCTGTTTGTCCTTATAAGAGGGTTCCCTCCAACATCAATCCTCAGCAAAAGGCGGGTGCCATTTTCTCCCAGGCTACCTTTGTTTGCCCCGGTGGGTCGCTTTTTGTCCAAAAGTTTGCGGCCCCGCGATCTCTTAGGTCGGAGCTCTTTGGATATCCAGTTGTGCTGCGGCTGCCGAACCGCTGCCGAATTCCCAGCACTTCGCGGCCGGAGCTGAGCCTCGAAATCAGCCCTCGGAAAACTGGAATTTATCGCAAGAACTCACGTTTTCTGGGCCACTCTGGGAGTTTAGTTTACTTTTCTTTCTTCTTGGCCAACTTGCGTACCCGAACGGACGTACCCCAAACCCGGTGTGCCATTGACTTGCTGAGGCCCTGGGTGGCGGCTCTACTCTGCAGCCTGGCTGGCGGTGCGGAAGGGTTGATCTGAAGACGGAAGCCCCGGTCCGAGAAAATATAAAGCTCTCCCTTTGTCTAGCGCCATGGCACCTGAAAGGGCAATGGTCCCAGGCTGGCTGGCTGGCTGGCTGGCCGGCCGGCTGGTTGGCTGGCTGGCTGGCTGGCTGGCTGGCTGGTTGGCTGGCTGGCTGGCTGGCTGGCTGGCTGGCTGGCTGGCTGGCTGGTTGGTTGGTTGGTTGGTTGGTTGGTTGGTTGGTTATTTGTCTTGTCTTGTCTTGTGTTGTCTTGTGTTGTGTTGTGTTGTGTTGGGGATGAGTACAGCAAACATGGCACGTAGCTCTGTGCGACTTGCTCGAGTCACCCCAACATCTCAATTTAATTATTTAGCCCTTGTATGGTCGAGATATATACGAGTAAGTATTGCTATAAGATAGACTCAGCAGATGGGCAACCCGTTCTTCAATTCAATACATTGGAGCAAGTGATTGGTAGGTAAAACGTGGTCGAAGTCTCTTTCAGCTATCATTGGGCCCTTCTCAGACACCCAGATCTCCAGTTTCCCCGGATTTTCAAACAGAAGCTCAGGTGGCTGAACGAGATCGAATCGGGTAGGGAGATTCAATTCTTGGATGGTTTTAAAGAAAGCCAAAAAGCCCCCTCCCCTCTTGGGGGTTCCTGCACTTGAAGACATGCCCACGCACATTCGTCAAACCCTCGGTGCGCAGGTCACGGCTCAACCTCGGGTCGCAGGTCACCTGTAAGCTGTCCTGGGTAAACCAGGGTTTCAAATGCGTGGCTCGTCTTTTAGGATTTGGACCCCCAAAAACCAAAGGTACATTCCAATCTCACCCATCCAAGCCGAGGGGTGAGATTGCAAGGCTCCCATTTTGCAGCTCACGGCTTGCAGGATGCCCTTAAAAGAACCCACATGGATCCAGTCCGAGCCAACTTCCTGGTTGAACATCAATCGACCCATTTGAACAACCTTCTTTCACTGGGCCCGAACAGTTTTCGCAGGCCATCTGTTTCCACGTGCCCACGTGCCGCTTTTCTGCGAAATCCAGCTCGCCTTCGCGACTCTTCGCAACGTTTGGTCCAAGTCGGGGTGCGCGGATTTGTTTTTTCCGCCGCCATGGCCGGGACCCCGAAGGGCGGAAGGGGGCGGAAGGGCGGAAGTGGCGGGGTGAAGCATACGAGGGCCGAAAGCGGCCAGAAGGCGAAGGCACCCGATCTTGGAGTTTGGTAAAAAATGGGCTCTTCTTTTAGGATTTGGAGCCTCTAGGCAAAATGGACCTGTGTTTCTTTTTTGGGGTCCCTCAAACAAACTTCTGGGCTAGCCTCAAGCTACATTTCGCGGGTGTTTGGTGAAGACTGGGCAAGGGCGCAATTCGCCGTGCTTTCAGACGCATGGAATTCTGCCTGTGGGGGGGGGGGGGTTGATCAAAAGGTCCAATAACATGGGATGACCATTGGTTGCAAGGCCACAAAAACATGATATCCATCACTCAACGGGGAAAGTTGCCCATGGTCATTTGGGGGGCAGTATTGTTCAACCCCCTTGTGGGTTTCGAGCACGGGCTAGAGGGCCCGAGTGACCATTCGGGGAACATGGCGTATCGTTCCAAAGCCATCCTTTCACAGCCGAGGTAGTACAGTCATTGCGTGGATTCTGCGTGTGCCTTCCGGCCATAGTCTGAACACAGCTGTTTGAGTCTTGGACTCGGTTCTCTTGGGTGAAAAACCTGCCTTTCGGCCATGGCTCACAGGTTTTTTTGGACGGCCACTTTGACTTTGGATGGTCACCTGAGCTTTGCCTCGGCCTCCAACAGCGCTCCAAAACTGGGCTATGAGTCACCCAAAGAGAAGGCTGGGACCTGGGACCTGTTCGCCACATGCGTTCCGAAGAGACCACCGCTTGTTAGAACCCAATTGGTTGGTTCCTGGCGCGCGCCTTTTTTCGGGTGCAGTTTTCTCCCCCACAAACCAGTCTGGTCAGGCGGTGTTCGCGAACACCAGCATCACCATCAAGGCCTGAAACTTCGGATCTCCGACTTGCTGACTTGCTGAGTCAGGCTTTTTGTTTCATCAAGTATACCTTTGTGTCGTTGTTTTTTTCGGGAACCCACCAAAAAGCGGTTGGTGTCCTTGCGATGTCCCTGTAAACACCGCGAGCAAAGGGTACCCTCAAAAGGAAGTACCCCCACGTTGCACATCTCTTTGTAGATCCGGCAGATGTGATTTTCCCACCAGTCCCTGAGTCTTGTCTAAATCACATTTCCAGTTAAATGGGACTTGGGGATGCACAAACCTACGGCCTATTTACCCAATCTCAGACAGTCTGTGCTCCATCTCAAGCAGGGTCAGGAATTCCTGGAATGGTTGGGGCGGTCAGGCTGGTTGGTTGGTGTTCTTGAGCCTGGACCATGTTCATGTTGCTCGTACAGCTGTTGTTTTTCATGTCAAGCTGCAGCTTGTTCTAAAAACGTTTACCGTTTACCATGTTTACCCGAGTATGATTTTTGATAGTCCTCCCGGGAAAGTGGGGGACGCGGGATTGCCAACCGCAAAGACTCCCGTACCATCTATACAACATCAGTTAAAGAAAGCACAAGAGTGACGAGGGACATATGCTAACTTTATGTGCTGTGTGTTTCCAAGCCAGAACATTATAATATATATATATATATTAATATATACACGCGTACGTGGGTACGTCTATAGCGGGCATTTGGCCGTCTTTCGCCGTGGCACATGCAGTCAGGTGCCAATGCAACGTAAGATCAATCATCACATTACCAAACATCCGGCAGGCAGGGTATTTCTGCGCATTGCTGCGCGGTGGCTTCGTGAGAGCATCAGTCAGAATGCCAACGGTATATACTTGGTTTTGAAGGGCTTGCTTGATTCTTGCTTGCCTTGGGTGTTTGAATTGTCCCTGAGAAGTTCTGGTTTTCCGTTTGCTTAAGACGATGGTGGATTTCCCTCTTGTTGTTTGGTGTTTTTGTATTTTTAATCTAGAACACCACTATTGTACAACATGTTTTTCGTGGGAACTTCAGCAAATGGAAGTTGTAGATTGAGAGCTTTTGTCGGGTGAAGAGGTTTTCTTCGCAACGCAAGCCAGCAGCTGCCATGACCCGAATGCCGAGAGGCCAAGGTGAGCCATGTCCTCAAAACCGATTCGGGTAGATCAAGGTTTGTAAGGGATAATCCCCTTGCCATAAATCGCTGCGGATTAAATTCATTACGTGGTTCTGGGATTATATACGACCATTTCAATACCGGGTTTTGATTATGACTCAGGTGAGGATGTATCAAGCTAGGTAATCACTAAAATAATTGACTGGATTCCGCTGGGTTTCCCTGCACACCAACCTGAAAAATGGTACCCTTAAGCAACACAGCCTCCCGCATGGTTTCAATCAGACCATCTGCGTGCGCGGCATGCCCCGACCAAATCCATAGCCTAGAGGCGCGTTACCTGCGCCATTCCTTTCTGGGCACATGTTGCACACAGAGATGGCTGTGGGTCAAAACCAATGGTATCATTTTGGGGTAGGAGCACACCCCATGTTTGTCTATTTTAGTGGGTGGCATGTTCATGACCCATGGCCAGATTGCCAGCAAGACAATTTGCAGCGACTAACCAGTCTAGGCCGGCGATGCAAACGTGTTGTTGGATGGGCGAAGGTGGCGCCGCCTTGCAACCCCATCTTCAGCATAAGCAGAATTGGCGTTCTTCAGAAACCGTTCTACTTGCAATGCTTAATGCAGAAAGTGACCGGGGCAAGCCTTGAGCACGTCATGTCTGTAATTTGCCTAGATGCCATGGAAGCCCAAGCCATAGTCATCCAAAGTTGCCTAAGATCTGAGGCCCTCACGCCGAGGGATACCGATGCTGTCAGAGGTCACCCCCCCCCCCCTTGAGGCCAAGCCTGGCAAATCGCCAGGTCTTAGAGCCACGGAAGGGTGAGAAGTCGGAAGGCGGAAGCCGGCCGGGTGCAGGGATCGGGCGGAGGTGTGGTTTTGGCAGGAGCCGACGTGTGTGTTTGTGTGTTTTGAGTTAGTTTCGAGTTGTTTGGAGTTGGTAGCCTTTCTAAGGTTGGGTTAAAGGGACATCCAAGGAAAGCCGACATTTCTTGGGTCTCTTATTTTGACGCCACATCCATGTGGTTTGGAAGCCCTGTACCCGGAGGGAGGGCAAGAAGGTTTCCGCGCAAGGGCTTATGCACACAGAGCGTTTCGTTTCGATGCTTTTGTCACTTTGCAGAAAGGCAATGGTATGGAGTAACGGATAGTTACTCAGACAGTATAGGACCTGACCGCACCACGGCACTTTGCAGAACAAAGGGACACTCTCTGACAACTTAGGGAGCTTGAGCGTCGCCTGGTCTTGCTTGAGTTTGTTGATTCATAGTGAATCCCATGAAACAACCATATCCGCACTGTTACGCCATTGTAGAATACTCTACACGATGGCTCCACGTGAAGAGCACGCAAGACACGAGGCGTCTCAGAGTTGTGAAGTCGATCGCCCCTTTGGTCTGAGTAGGGGATACACTCTTTTGGTCCAACTTCGGGTTTAAGCGCAGGTCAAAAGCGCCCCAATAGTTGTAAACCCAGGTCAAAAGGGTTGCCTCAAAAAGGAGTTGTGAAGTTGATCGCCCTGTGAATCTGAATATGGGGATCGCCCCTTTGGTTTCCCTTTAAACCCAGGTCGAAAGGGTAGCCTCAGAAAGATCGACACACCCTGGAGTTCCTCGAGGGGGCAGTGGGATGGGACGTTGGCCGCAGGCTCCGGGGACTACTATTGGGGCATGGTGGATCAAGCCGCCCCCAAGGACTGTCCGAAACGGGTAGCCCTCAGTTGGTTTGGTTTGGAGGTTCGGATTTGGATTTCACAACCCCGGTTTGTTGAGGGTAAAGGGAAACCATCACCGGATGAATCCAAACTGCAATCCGAACCACCAATTAGAGGGAAGCTGATCGGAAGGTGTGGCACGACTGAGCTCCCTATGGACCGCCCCGTCCGCTTCTATTGTGAGACAGAGCCTATCGGTTTGGAGGTTTTGGGGCTGTGGGGCGGTTCGAATGTCTCCAACCAGAAATTGCAGTTGACCAGTCGCTGAGTACCAACCCAGAAAGGTATCGGGTGTATATTTGGTCTATGTTCTGGGCATGGAAAGAAACAGCTCCACCATGTTTAAAGAGGCTCGGGCCCTCTCTTTCCAAGCAAAAATCAGAAGGCCGAAGAGAGGCTTCGTTCAGAGGTCAGGGCTGAGGTTTATGATTGATTCTTATCCATTTCTGGATTCATTGATCCATTCTCTGGTCCTTGGCCCGGCAAGTTGCGAGTTCCGTGGTCGATTGACAATCCCAAAGGGTTTCGACATTCAGGACCCTTGGACCCCTTGGACCCACCCCAAGCCTTGGACCCTTGGGTTTTCACAATCCCTTGGACCCTTTGAGGAAGAGCAACTATTGTACCGATGCTGCCGGCTTCATGCCAACGGTCTTCTTTCCCACCCCCCCCACCAAAAAAAAAGAACGAGCAATCATCAAGGCGCTGTTCAACACGGAAACAAAGCAACGCAGTCAGCCAAACAAGAGACTGAAAGGCTCTAGTTCGCACTCGAAACTGCCAAAACTACGTGGCCATCACAAAAAAAGAGGTTTGAAGGCTCCAGTTGGCACCAAGAAAAATGGTCTGCAGTCCCCAGCCTGGCGTTTCCTCCAATCGCTCAACCCGGAATGCGTAAAGGTGAGGCAAGGTTGGGAAAGGGACAGAAGCCAAGCCCCAAACAGTCAGGACTGACTGTTGAGTTTCGGCGCTTCCTATTTTGGTACAGCGGACTCTTTGGGGAGACCCTTGATTCAACACGCCAGGCGCCTTTCTTCCCCAAGACCCCGAATCCCTCGCCTTCAGCCAGGGAGCCGCCTCGGCTTCTGTTCTGAGGACCTTTTCAGCATCAAGGCCAGCGGCGCGATGAAGGTGAAGGACCTCAAGGCGGCCATTTCCAAGGACCTCAACACGGGATGTGGCGAAATGGCCGTGGCTCAAAAAGTTCCGACATGTCCAACATGGGTTGCCCGATCGGGAAGTGGGATGGACCAAAACCTGCGGTTTGGTTTGCCCCTCCGATCGTTTAATTTTGAGCCACAACCAAAGATTTTTCCAAGGACCCTCAGGTTGATAAGGGACACGAGGGAAAGAGTGTCTCAAGCGCCAGAGAAAGCGCATCCAGGAGAAGGGCTATGCCGTCGAGAGCCAGCGGCTGATGTACTTCGGCGGCGAGCTGGAGGCGCAGCGGCTGACCCGGGGAAGTTTGGCGGAAGCTGCGGGATTTCGGCGCCGAAATCGGGGGTCACTCAAGGGTGCGCCCGTTTTGTCCAAAGCGCGTGGCATCCGACAGGGGACTAGCAGCAATGGCAGCATCACAATGGCTCTCTGGTATGCTTGCTGGGTGAGACCTATACCCGGTGGTCGGCATGGGTGATTGCCATGGGTCGGTTTGGGGATTTTGAAAGAGCAGCGAGCAACGGCGAATGGTGACAGGCGTGGCGACCGTACCAGGCGAACGCAGGCACAGCGGTATCAGAATCCGCATAGCTGCAGCCACAAGTGTCCCATAAACAAGGGGCAACCACTAGTTCCCCCAGTAGTGTCCTTTTGCCTTTTTTTGGGGTGAGGCTTCCCCTACAAACAGAAGAAAGGGTACCCTTATTGAAACCTCTCTACTGGAGGACCTGGACCATGTTCATGTTTTGCTTCAGCGTGCACCAAACTCTGAATGCACCCATGCGTTGGGTCGGACCGCCCGATCAGGACACCCGAACCCTGGAGAGCGCGGGCATGTGCAACACTGCAGCTTAGCAAAGATGCAGAGTGAGTTTCTGCTCATGACGCTTCTGGCGGGATATGGGGCGTGTCTTTTTCGGGACCCCCCCCTTGGATGGTTTTCAAGGGAAACCGAAAGGAACACCACCCATTCCCCTATTTTGAGATAAACCCATATTGGTCCTCTACTTGGGGATCACTTGAAGTGACTTGTTTCAGGTTTTGGCCACATTGCAAGATTGCTGATTCTTTCCAGGGCTTTGTGCTGGCTGTGGTCGGAGGGAAATATCGGCAAGCCTCGAGACGTCAATGAACAGGGCAGGTTGTGTTATGGAAGGGTCTGTGAGGAACATGGCGGGACTTCAAATGCCAATGAGTGAAACAATGGCCGAACCATGGAGTGCACCATGGTGTTCGTCAACCATTAATCCCCCCCCCCCCCCCCCAAAAAAAAAAACACCCAAAGCATCACAATATGTTTTTTTGTTCAAGCAAAATTGGAGACAAAGCCCTAGGACCCTTTAAACATTTTTCACCAGACAAGGAGCAACATAAAGGGGGATTTAATGGAAGATATGAATACTTCTTGCAAGTGATGATGGTGCGTCTGGTTTTGAGGGTGCCTTTGTTTGGGGCTGTGGTTCAGGGAACCAAAGGGAAACTCACCATTGTTTGAAACCTACTTAGCAATGAACCCATATGTAAGCATTACATAGTTCAACATGCTACTGGGTGGCTTACAAGTGAGTCCATTTTGGAGGCTCCCTTAAGCGAGAGATTCATCTGCTTAGTCCAGTCGCCCGTCCGGCAACAAGCGATGGTGGGTTGGTGGGTTGAATGTCAAGCATTGTGGTTTCAGAACATTCGATCCAGAGCATGTGGCCATCTTACAGCGACCCCAAACAAGGGTACCCTTTTAAGGTTGGCCTAAACGCAAACCACAAGAACAACCACCAGTTTTTGAAAGGCGCTTCCCACGGGTTTTGCTGGGATGTTCTTCCCAAGGACGACCCGCTGCTGCACATGATCCCGAGGGTTTGAGGAGGTTGAGCTTTACAGCGCCAGCTGAATGGAGCTTTTGAAAAGGGGAAGAAGCCATTGAATTGGTGGTTTCAAACGGGGGTGGTGCCCCATTTAATTACCGTCTGCAAGAATCAGGGGTTCAAATCCAAGCCACGAGTGGGAAGCCAATTCATTTGCCTACTTGCCTAGAGCTCAATTACCTTGGGTGAAAATGATCCTTTGCATCATATTATTTTGTTTAAACGTCTTATTTCAAAAAGGGCGCCTGGGGGCGAGTTGTAAGACAAGGGATTGTTTTTTGTGAGACCTAAAGGACACCAGGTGGTGCTGCGGCTGTTCAGGAGAGGGGGGAGGGGGGGCAACCCCCAGCTGTCCAGGAAACCTTGGCGCAAGCGTTGCATGTAAATTTAACGGGGCAGCCGGTAGTATTTCGGTGATCTAAATGGGTTCAATCAAAGGGGTTGTAGGATGCTACACACACACATGATTGTCCTTTGGTCCCCTAAATGTTGGCAAAAGGAACACGCAATGGACAAGCAAGCGACAGTTGCGTTTTCTGAATACATCTGTTGGGTGTCTTCGAATGCTTTTGGCATCCTTTGACTTTAGCAACCGGAAAACAAAACAGCGCCATCAAGTTAATGTGTCTTGCAGACGTAACATATGGAGTTACGTTTTGGGATGAACAGAAACATAGGATAAGTTTGTCATCCCTGAGGGTGCAATAGGGTTTGGGCTCCATTTCGTTTTGACAGCTCAATAGGAGAGACAGCTTAATAGGAGAGGAGGAGGGAGGAGGTAAATGGCTGGGAACTACGCCGGTGTCAACACGATGCCGACCAATACAGGCTATGCCTAAATGAACAACTCACCCGGATATTTGCAGTTCTGCTGGCAATGCAATTTATTTCTGAATTTGGAAGCATGCACTGGCAGCCAGGAATTTTCCAGAGAGGTTTGAGTGGCAGTGAGAGAAAAGGAGTTCATTGGCGCGCAGCGGGGCTGTGGGGAATGGGGAGGTTGGGGAAGGGCAGTCAGATTGGCTTGGGATTGAAGCAGCATGTTGTGAAGCAAATTTGTTGGGGTTGCACTGCAGAGGATGAAGAAGGACACACAAACGCTAGATGGCCAGCACAGCCATGAATACCGACAAGACTTTATTTGGGAAGCACCAATTACATGCATGTGAACAATATATCACTACCGTGTGTAATATATCACTACCGTGTGTATGTAAATATATACATATGCATATATGATTATATGTACATATATACGTATCACATTGAACACATCCGTACGTAGGGATGTGTTCTCAAAGTTCAGGCATAGCTGCTTGTCTCCCTCCCCCTCTCTATCTATCTCTATATATATATACACATATGATCACATATTAGTATAGACACACACACACATGCAAGAAGTTTCAGTTCCCATGAAAGGAACCCCGCCATGGAGCTCTATGTCTCACCATGGCTCACCCTTTTCAAGTGCCGCGGCAGGTGCGGCACTTGGTGCCCGACCTAGCGGAGCCAGTGGAGGAAAGGGTCGCTTTGGCTTTTTTTTGGTGTGCCAAAAGGCCCGGGACATCCTTCTTTTTTTAACGTGGCGCTGTTTTGTTTTGTTTTTCATCTTGCCCAGTGCTTCCGATTTCCATTCTAGGGGGAAACCATCAAGTAAACTGGAGGTAGAGATACCTGGTCACCCGTATGATTCGAAGCTGGAAGCTTTGGGTTGGCCTCCCTACGTGTCATTTTCCCGGGAAACTGGATGGCCCCTCATCCAGTTTGCCCTGGCGAGAAGGTACCCGTGGTCCTTTCCGAGGGACCCTGTCAGGTGCCATAGTGAGAGGGCATGCGCCTGAGGTTTTCCCACGTTGTTCTCTCGGGAAACACGGGAGAAAAGTCACCCAAAACGATTCGAAGCCTTTCGGTGTCATATAGTTTCTATCATGCAAGTCAGTTGCACACCTATGGGTGTGTCTTTCTTGAGGGCACCTTGTTTTTTTTTGTTTGTTTGCGGTTTTAAAGGGAAACCAAAGGAACACCGCCATTTTGGCGGTCCTCGAAGACGCAGCATATATGGCCATATGGATTAGATGTGATTTCTGGGTCGGAAAACGAGACTGATTTGGAGAGCGACATGCAGAGTGACCAGAGGATGCTTGCGCGGACGCTGAGAAAGACAGAGCTTTGCACGTATGAAGAGCTCACCTTACTGAGATAGGACAAACCCACAAGTTTATTTTTCTTTGGGAAATAGTTTTTCCAGCTCAATGTATAATTGCCCAACAGGCAATAATTTGCGTACGTTCTAGATATCTTATGTTGATATGTTAGTCATTGGAGTTTCCAGGTGCGTCCATGTAGGCAAAGGCATGGCAACGTGTCAAAGCGAATTAGACCCCTTTGGGGTGCGTGCAATCGACAACCAACATGAAGCAGTTGGACGAGGTCCAGTGTTGTGTTGACACACACACACACGCACGCACAAAACTATATATTCTAGCAGGTATCCTCGATTCCCTGAATGGAAATGCTTTCAGGAAAGATACCCTCGCCTGAGGTGTTGCTCCTGAAACATGCCTGGTTTGATTAAACGGAAACCAAATGGATTACCACAATTTTGGGCGTCCCCCATTTTGACCCATACAAATATGGGTGAAAATTAAAGCACCAGGAATCGGACCGCAGGTTTTAGTCCTTGGGTCCATTTACTCGATTTACTAGGGTTCCAAATGGACACCCATTTTTGACCCACAGCCATCTCCTGACCCTATCAAGTCACTGTACAGTCTCAGACGTCTCTCATGTGTTGCGCATCCTGCATGGGAAGCCTCGTTGAAGTTGGCCCGGGCTTCGCGGCTGGAGTCTTGGAGGCCCCTGAAATGGGAATGTGGGGACCCCCCAAAACAGCGGTTTTCCGTTTGGCTTCCCTCTAAACGAAATCGAACAGGGTACTCTTAAACACACACACACACAACAAAACAAACAAATATCATCCAAACAAGCAAACAAACAAACAACCAAATCAACAATCAAACACTTGCAAACAAATCCATGGGGTCATGACGTGCTATATTGGTTGCATTCTCTGATATTGAAACGGCAAACTTTGCCGCCAGGACTGGCCCTTCTCGCAGCACCGGCCTGGCTTAGCTCCGTTTGGGCGATTTGTCGGGAATGGGGCAAGCCGTGAACAAATCGGTCGGGCTCAAAGACCCTGGACACTGAATTGCAGGGGCCATGGGACTGAGAACGTACCACTGTCTGAGTCAGAAGTTCTATTCTAGACATGTAAATGTTGATTCTCATGATCACCATGAATCGCCTTTGAATAGATACGCTTTACACATTCATATGGGTTTGTCTCAGAAAAGGGGCCAACAAAATAACGTGTGTCCTTCTGTTTATTTGAAACCACCCCAAAGTAGGGTACCCTCAAAACAGACACACAAACAAACAAACAAACAAACAAACAAACAAACGCATTTGTTAGGGGACCCCCCCCAATCAAGTACAATAAAATCAACAAACAGCAGAAACTAAAACACACCGAACAAAACAAACACGCACACAAAAACAACAAACAAGGTGGCATTCCTGATGGTGTCCCTTTAAAACCCAAAGACAACAGTGCCTAAAAGCAAACACATACATATATATATATATACCTCTACATGTGCATGCATTGACTTTATTTCACGCACGTGCCATTGCAGGCTGAGCACTGTGAAGAGGGACGGCACCGCCTGCGCCCGGAGGCCAAAGGTTTTTGTGTTCAGCGGAAAGGTGGGGAAATACGGTGGATGGGCGAAATCCTACACCTTGAAACCATGGTTGAAGCCATTGCATCAGACACAAGGTTTTCTTAGGTGGTGGAAAATATGTTGTTGAAGCCATTGTTTGTTGGTATGACGTGTTAACTTGCGCGAGGTCCCGGGGAATAGTTTGCAGAAGCGTTCCAAGGGTTTCAGAAAAAATAGCGCACACCACCACTCTTCCAGTGCCTCA